CTTACAACATAGTTAGGGTCCATATATGTTAACTTACCACTTATACCTCTCAAATGGGCCATAACACTTTCATTTATTAAACCCAAATAGCATCTCTTTTATGGTTTTATTGTTAAAAAACGTGGCTTATCATTAATGAAGGGTAGGAAGGTAATTTCACAAGGTTTTCTTTCTCATCAAATCAAAGAAAGTGCCACATTATTAATGAAGAGCAATTTTGGGATTATAAAATTAATTAAATTAAAGGAGAAATTGTTAATATATAATTAGAGACATCTAGTTAGAGAATATCCTAAAATATTTTTTAAAAATTAATTATGATCCCAAATTCATATTTGAATAAGTCAAAACTCCTATTAAATCCCCTTACTTTCTCTCCAAGTCTTCTTTTTTGATTATTTGAATTATCCTAAATCCTTCTTACTTCCACTCACATTGTGCCAACTAAGCTTCTCATTATCCTAAACCTTAATACTTAAGTCATCTTTTATCTTAATTCAAATATTAATTTAATGACTTATTTTCTAAGCCAAGTCAAGAGATAAAAGTCCTATCCTCTTCCACCTAATCTTTTTGACATTTTTTCAATTACTATTATTACTATCATATCCTATGCTATCCTTCCTATTGTGCACGCCATTCTCTCCATTTTTTCTCCATCCATATTTTATATATGACATCATTTAATAGTTTTCTAGGTTATTATCTTAGATTATTTGTATAGGATAATTTATTCAAAATATGTAATATTTAAATATATTATCCTAGGATTTATTTGAATGGAAAATCAAGGAAGATATGAGGAGGCTAAATTATTCAAAGATCCAGGGTCCAAGATAAAATAAAGATCATCATCATTATCCCATAAGGAGGCAAGGAGGGGGTCAACCAATGCCATAAAAAGAGGTCCACAAACAAGGAGCAAGACATGTCATCTTCACTCACTCTCTACATTGCCTACAAGCATCCACTAAGGCATCAAATTCTCTCTATTTCATCTATATAGTTCTGTTTTCTTTCTTTATCAACATGATGTGTTCTAGCCACATGAGTGGCTAGTCTCCTTGTTCTTGAAGAGAGATATTGTGGTTTGAGTTAGGGCTGCACAAAGACCGGGTTGGACCGGGTTAACCCCTAACCCGAAACCCGGTTTGAATTTACCTCGGGTTCTATTTTTTAGCCCGAGACCCGGTCTAAACCGAATTGACCCGACTACTGGACAGGACCGGGTTGGTCACCCCGGGCTGGACCGGGTTCCCTAGACAGTGTCACAAAAATTTCCTAATAAAATTCCTCTTGCACATACAAAGAAAGTAGAAGAGATAGAAACCGAGGAGATGAAGAAGACAACAGATTTGGTAATGAAGTTCTACAGCCTTGAACCTCATCAACAATCAACAATCTTCATAGTTCATAGCAATATATTAAGAAAATTATTTGACAAGCGAGTGAAATGTTATGAATTATTTTTTTTTCATGCACTAAGAATTATTGCAGATAAGCGACGGCTAGGTGAAGGGAAAAAGGAGAAATAATATTGATGAAGATTGAAGAAGCAATAAATCAAATCATGGTGTGAATTAAGATGGGAAAAGAAAAAACGAGAGCTTGAGAGGTAAGACCCAAATCCTACTATGAGTGTAGTCTTTCCTTTTTATACGGCAAAAAAAAAACATGTATTGAAGATTGAAACGTGCACTGGGGGGGAAAAAAAAGCCGAGGCCTTCATTTTTGACTCTTCAATTTGAATAGATCTGATATGGGATCTTCATCCTCAGCTTCTGCATATCTGGAAGATGCCGTTGATGAACGCTGAAACACCAACATATCAGATCTGGAATAATGGGGCAAATCTGGAATACTCAAGCCATGGAAAACATAAAAGGAAGATAGATGTTACGGGTGGGTTAGAGAAGGAGAGAAGGAACAACATACATATGTGAAGGATGGAGGAGACATATGGAAGATGGAGGAGGTGACTAAGATAGGGCTACACATGAAACCCGGTAACCCGGTAAACCCGGTCCAACCCGGTCTCACCCGGTCCAATTTTTAAAGCAGTCCAAAAAAACCCAGTGAAAATTCGGGCCAGACCGGGTCTGACCCGAAGACCGGGTAGGACCGGGTTACGGGCAGGCATGTTGGACTAATAACCCGGTCCTGCCCGATAATTTTTGTGAGATATTAAAAAAAAGCTACATAGGCCCATATTGAAGTCCTTTCTTTTTTACCTAACAAGTCCATTTCTGTTTTAGTGATTTAGGCCCATGTTGGTTTTTTTTTCCAGATCCAATCTGATGCCCACTTGCGAGTTGCAACACCACCTAATGCCCAATGCCCCAATCCATCAAAGATTAGAATCAGACCATCACTGATTCACTCTCACTTCATCAGGCTTCGAGTTCATCCCCAAATCCCCTCTCCCTCCAAACCTAGCGCTAGCGGCAGCGTCAGCATCTCACATTCTCATTTCTCACCGATTAGCGAAGACAGCGAAGAGGCGACCTCAGACCTGCTTCTCCCCCATCCCCTTTTGTGATTTGCGCAGTGCCGGCGACCCCATTCCCTAGCAGTTGCAACCAAGCTTGCCTCCTAGTCCTTCGATTTGTGCTTGCTGCTGCAGCTCACTATTTGCTCGCCAGTTGCCGGATCGCCGCTGCTCTCCAGCTCCGTCACCGTTAGTACAGATCTAGGTAAGGTCGAGCCTCTTTTGAGTGTTGTTAATTTGTTACTTATTCTATTGTCAGATTTGGCTTGGGTGCTTGGCTATTCTCACGCGTTAAAAATATTATTGCTGCCCATTTTGTGGATATTGTGTGTTTATTTTGTTTTATTTACCAACAAAGCAAACATGTGATCCTCGGTCAAATACTAGGTCCATATTTAAATTGCTTTTGTTTGGGTGGGGGTTGGATGGGGGAGAAGGTTAAGATAAATGAGAGAATATTTTTTATCCAATACCTCTTCGGAAAATGGGTTGACAGTAGTGAAAGGATCTTAATATATATAATTGAGGCAAGGAGAACCAACGCAATTTGTGTTCTTGGGGTGCCTACATTTCAGTTGATTGCAGTAGTAAATACGTATGTTATGAATGTCAAAATTTGTCTACTTAATTGCTGAACTAACTTGTCCGATTTATGTCTTTTTTTATCTGGTTATTGTGAACAATTATATAGGCTTGACATAGTTAATTATTGTTCCTAAAGTTGAAATAATTTGTCTACTTCATTATTGTCATTGTATTCTTATTTCTTGTTCAATTTATTACAGATATATTATCCATTTATCGCTTTGAAATGGAGGAGCAAGATTCCATGTCAAGCAAGGATTGAGTTCATAGTTCGCTGCCATATGTTGTGTCACTGATTATCATTCCATGTTTTGATATTTGCTGTTGTGTGATGGACCTGTAATATTTGATATTGGCATGTATTTTGGTTTTATTATTAGCTATGACATTTGATTAGCCTGTGGCCTTTGAATCAGCAAACTTTGAGACTGATTATATTCTCATTTGATATTTGCTTTGGTGTAATGGAGTAATGAACTTTTCTTCTACGCTGCGGTTTTGCCTGTTTAAACTTGCATTTTGCTGAAAGTGTAGCATGCACAAACCAGCAAGCTACAAGCTTTCAAGGCTGTGTAATGGAGTTGTTTGTTATTATATTATGGACTTCGATGGTTGCTTACTTGCTTTACATTTTTATTTTTTTTATTGTATTGTTTGCAGTTTATACTTGATTTTAATTTGTAGATTGTTTTAAAGTTATTTTTATTTGGAATTTGGTATTCTCATGATGTTATTCTGTTTAGGACAAATAGATATGAATTTTTTATGTAACAGATTGGAAATTATTGATCAGGAATTTAAAAAAAAAACAGGACAAGGGATATGGACTTGGACTGGACCAGTAACCCGGTCCAGTCTGGTCCAGTCCGCCCAACCCGAGGAACAGCGGGTTCCTTACCGGGCAGGACCGATCTTCGGGTTGGGGTGACCAGCCCGAAGACCAAAATGGACCAGACCACGGGCTAATGCCCTGCCTGGCCCGGTCTGGTCCATGTTTAGCCCTAGACTAAGAGACTGAGACGGAGGAGGCGCCGCTGATAGAAGCAGGAAATGAGAAATGAAGGAATTTAGGGCTTGGTAAAATAAAAATATAAAATATAAAATAAAAGCATCGGGTCAGACCAGACCACCTAGTCTGAAGGGTCAACCCGAAACCCGGTCTGACCCGATGTTCAACCCGGTCTGGTCTGTCTGAATTTTTTGTTCGGTCTGAATTTTTTTGGGCTAAACTGGACCGGGTCTTATCGGGCTGGACCGGGTTAACTGGACTACTGGGTTTTTTGTTCAGCCCTAGTTTGAGTCCCATGCTTTAATCTAGATGAGTTGTAATTAGAGTTTTTAATCTTTTATGTGTAAGTTTTTATGATTTCCTAGTTTTTGGTTTTGAAACTCTTATATGTGGTTCTTTTGATTATTAATGTGAATTTCTTTTTTAGTTATAATTTGTGAGCTTATCTATAAATCCTTTTTCCTCTAATGATTATTTGATGTTATTCTAATATGTTACTTTTAGGGTTGTATGCGTAGTTATGAATTAAGTTTAGCACTAGCTTACTTTTCAAGAATATATCGTTTGAATATTCTTGTTTTGAGGAATAAATTATAATTGGAATTAAACTTTACATGCTAAGTGGTTCTAAAAATAATTATTTGGTTGATATATATACTAGTTCTAGGTATAGATATTAATTAAATAGTTATGACCTACGTGTTCACCTAGGGTTTATATTTTGACCTAGTACTTTTCTCTTTATTAACTCTTATTAACTATCGGGATAGCCACACACCGATCCTTGGGAAGATTATCTTATTGGTAAAGTTTTTCTTATTCATTATCTTGTATTTTTGCGTTTTCTTTACTTTCTTGTTAACCTTAATTAAAAATCAACATTCTCTTCTACTCCTTATCCCTCTTTAATCACATAACTCAACTTAAAAGTTATTTTAAAACCAAGTTTTGACTCCACAAGAGATCGATCTAGGATTAGCTCCTATACCACATAGGGTTAATACTAGTAACTTTTTTGAAGCGCCAGCAAAAAGTGAGATCAACGTTTTTTTTTTTTCTGTCTTTAGTTTAAATAAGAATTGAGTTAGAGACCTACTAATTGAACCAACTTTTTTGGCCCACTAACTCCGTTGGTAAAGAGATAAAGATAAGTCTCACAAAATGGCAGAGATTCCCTCTACCCATTGAATTATACGAGGTTTACAGAAAATCACAGGAAAAAAGAAGAAGAAGAAGAAGAGCGCAATTCTTCAAACCTAGTTCTGAAATTTCTTTAATGTTCCATGATAAATAGGAAAATGTTCATCTTTGCTATTCGTTAAATGCTCATATTGTATACTTTAGCTCCATGTTACACAAAAGTCCCCAAATTTATAAATCACACCATATCACTCTGTAGAAGCATGCGCCATTGTTATTTAGTCTATTTGAATCTTTACCAACTACCAAAATATTCCGAAAAGAAACAAATGCAAGTGGTGGAGTCCAATCACTGCCCATTGATTTTCTCGCTTAACTTTCCCGGAAAATCTGAGCTACATTTTTGCATCAGTTCATGGAAAAGCTAAAAAAAAAAAGGTTCACAATTTCTGCTAATAAATACAAAATTATTAAATAAGGATTACAGAGATTTAATTTATATTACATAAATGGAAAAGTAACAAAACCCTTTTTCATATTTTCACTGAAAGTTATAATAGTTCAAGAGCGAATGCTATTTCTTCTTCCTTGCTTTTCTCATCAACGTACGAGGAAAACAACACAGGTTGATATGAGAAAAAGGACAGAGAAAAGAGGTTATAAACCACAAATGTTATTCACTAAATTAAATTCCTTGATGATCATCAAAACTTGTGGCACGCACACAGATCGTGATTATGCCATGACAATATGGAAAAACTTGTGACATAAGCCTAGGTTTTGCATGCATTCACAGAATGGCAAATCTGGGTCTGCTGCAAAATCTTAACCAGATTTCACATTTCAATGATACTTCACCTCACAATTCAAAAGCCTAATGAGAATCTTACAGCGCCTAGCTCTCTCTTCTGTATTCCCACTTACTCTGTTTTTTGACATCAAAGCACTTCTTGTTTTCTTACCCTTTTGTACGCATCATTTGGGGCAATGTGCTCCAATGATAGGTCTCAGTGTGTTTTAAAATTTAAGGTTAAATTTTCCTTTCTCAAACAGGAAAGTTCTAGGACATTGGGACCCCACTGTGCAGTGTGAAAGTATTCCCGATTTGGGAATCAGACACCTAAGCCTACGAAAAATATTGGGATCCAGTAAAGCTTCTAGCTAGGGTTGTAGCCATTTGACACTAGTGTTTTCACAATACTTGGCACCATTCTTTTAAAACATAAACAAACAAAAGAATGGATAGATGAGAATTTAAAAGGAACTTCGTATATGTACGTGTTGATTATCATCATCAACATCGTGACAGTACTGTCCCAAATGTCCAACAAAAACGTGGTGAAGCCCATATGCTTTTCTCCCACCTCACCTCAGTGATATAATGATGAGAAAGAAAGGAATAAGAATGCAAAAGATTTGTAGTTTTTAATGAGAATCGCTTTTGAAATGTTTATATGTTCGTTTAGAAGAATATTGACAGCTGCTGCTGAATGGGAAATTTAACTAAAAATACTAGCAAACTGTTAGTTGAGGTGGTAGCTTTACTCCATGAGAAGAAGAAGAACACAAATTCTAGGAAGAGCACTGTTGGTAGTGTTTTAACCATAAACATTCTCATGAGAGGGATTAGTCGATAGAAAAACAAAAAATTAACCAAGAACAGAAAGATTTGTTTAGTTAGTCATTTGGACTTCTCTGATTTACTTTCTAAGACTTGAAAGAAGATCTTATCATTTCAAATCTTGAGATGTTTCAATCCGTATACTTTTTATATAAGGATAACTACACTTTCTATCTGGAAGAAATGACAACTACAGTGATTGCAGAAAAACCTTACCCTAAACTAATCATGTCTTTCATTTTTGTTAGTCATGATTATCTCCTTGTTGACTTTTCATGAAGGTGAGTGTGAAGAGAAGACCCTTTAACTAGTGCTTTTTTCCCCTTTTGAATTTTATTTTCCTTCTGTCAAATTAATAAGGCCAGATACCTCAAATGTCAGCAATAATTGAAGTCATGTCTGATATAATTTATTCTATTGTCATCTCATAAAATAAAGAAAAAGGTAAATGGTTGCAACAATGCATCATTTGGATATTGCCGTGTGTATTAGATCACGCATTATAGCCCTAAAAGATAGGATCATGATAGAATAGAAACAAGAGAATGGAAGTTTAGATTTTTCCTTTTTCTTTTTTCCCAAAAGAATAAAGGTCCACTAAATTCAGGGGGAGGTGCCACGTCAGCAAATTCCAGGGCGTTTTAAGGGGGGCGTGTATATGTGTGTTTGTGTTTATATTTACATCCCATGCCTTGAAAAAACATAACCCAGAAGAAGCAAGGGACATACATAAATATTGGCCTTCCTTCTCTGTTTTTATTGAGTCACTATGTCTCTGAAGATAGCGGCTGAAAGTTGGCCAAAACCACCATTAGAGACCGTACAGTCAATGAATGAAGCGGTGGTCGTAAGAGAGTATGATGAAGAGAGACACAAGATTGCAGTAGAGAAAATGGAGAGTCTTTGTGAGGTTGGGCAGAAAGGAAAGCCATCTCTTGTCACAGACCTTATGGGTGACCCCATATGCCGTATTCGTCACTTCCCAATACACATCATGCTGGTAAGCAAATCCTGATTCTAATGTTCAACTTCAGTTTTTTATTTAAAGGTGATAACAGGGATATATGTATTAGCGTTAAGTAGAAGCAGAAGTCCCACATTAAAATATGGTAAGACTATATAAGGCCTTTTGTAAGAGGACTGATTGACGTGTTGCTCATGACTATGGTCTCTCACTAAAACTCAACGTGAGATGAAGTCAAAGTCATATCCATATCCTTATTGACCTCATAGTTAGAGATTGAAATCTTAATACTTGCTTGTATATGTGTTTGAAGCAGGTCGCAGAATATGGAGAAGAAGGAGAAGTTGTTGGAGTGATAAGAGGATGTGTGAAGACAGTTGCAAGAGAGAGTTCAGTCTATGTGAAGGTGGCTTATCTTTTGGGGCTCAGGGTCTCTCCAACAAGAAGGTACCATTCTATTCTTTCATATGCTCCCAGTTTTCTATGTTTCTGCACTGCACATTCCATGAAAGTGTCCAAGGGAATCCAAAGAAACGTGAGAGGCACTGTTCTTGAATTGATCCTTTAACCTTAATGCGTAGTTGAGTTTAATGCACGCGTTTCAGACTAAAATATACTGAAAAGAAAGAAAATATCGAGTCACAACAGTTTCTGTTTTCTTTTCTTGAACCACAACAATCACAAGTGTTGGGTTCAGAGACTGTTTTGCTAGTATCTTCTTTTCTCTCCACAGGTGGTGTGATTTCTTTGTTCTAATTCCTCTCTGACATCATAGAATAAGCAGAAAAACGGGAAAAGATATTGTGAGGGGTGGGAGGATTAGATTCCAAGGAAAAGACAGATAATGTTCCTCGTATCATGGAACAGTGAAAAAGCAATTAGCCAGCTAGCCCGGCACTGACACATGTATGACAAATGTATCCACTAAAAATGCCTTTTTAAGAAACTATGAACTATGAACTAGGAACTAAATAGGATGTCTTATTTTATTCTCAACTATTTCTCTGAATTTGGTCCCCGCGTGTGCCTACTTTTTTCTTCAGTTCCAATCTCCTCATGGTCCTGTTCTTCATTCTATTAACTCTATGATCTCTCTTCATTATATGAACATATAAATAATGGCTTCAAAATCCGCAGGAGACTTGGCATTGGCGCAAAATTAGTTGAACACTTAGAGGAGTGGTGCGAGCAGAAAGGGGCAAAGTATGCATATATAGCAACTGACTATACAAATGAACCATCCATCAATTTGTTCACAAAAAAATTTGGCTACTCAAAGTTCAGAACTCTGACCATGCTGGTGCAACCTGTTCATGCTCACTACAAGCCTATAACTTCGAGTATCACCGTGATTCGCCTTCCACCATGCCTATCCAGGTCCATATATAACCGGTTGCTTTCCAATTCAGAATTTCACCCAAAAGACATTGACTTAATCTTGTCTAACAAGCTCAATTTAGGGACCTTCATGGCCATCCCCAAGAGATATCTCTCGAAGTGGGATCCAAAAACAGGCATTATTCCTCCAAATTTTGCCATGTTAAGTGTGTGGAACACAAAGGAAGTGTTCAAGTTACAAGTGAAGGTGTTTCACCATTAACACAAACCTTCTGTGCAGGGACAAGGATATTAGATTCATGGGTTCCATGTTTGAGGCTACCTTCCTTTCCTGATGTCTTTAAGCCATTTGGGGTTTATTTCTTGTACGGATTACACATGGAAGGGAAGAATAGTAGGGTTCTCATGAGATCACTGTGTGAATTTGTGCATAACATGGCTAAGGATGATGATGGTTGTGGGGCTGTTGTGACTGAACTGGGGCAAAGGGACCCAGTTAGAGAGGCGGTCCCACACTGGAGCAAGTTCTCATGGGCTGAGGACGTGTGGTGCATCAAGAAACTGGACAAATGTGAGCCACTTGATTGGATCATATCCGGATCCTCTTCACCAGTAATTTTTGTTGACCCTCGTGACTTTTGAAAGTAATTAAATAAACATAGTAACAAGCAAAACTGCAGGATGTGGTAGTTGGTAGCTTCTAGTTAACATATATGAATATTGAAGAAATGAATGTATCATTCTACAGTTCTGTGTTGCATTTTCGTTTAAGAGACGTGTCACTCAGAAACCAGCAGGATGGTAGAGATTAGTTTAGATCAGTTCAAACATATGTAACCTCAATAATGTATGGGGCAATTCTTTTCTTTTCTTTGTTTTGTTTGGCATTTTGTAACTTCCCCATCTTGACTATGTTGTATTTACCTCAGTGTCAAATTCTCCAGATTCAACTTTAATGTTGATGTCTGTAATAATCTTAACAAGATCTACGAGTAAGCTGGGTCAATCTGCTGTCTCCACATAAAGCAAACTGCAAAAATATTCCTACAACCAATTGATAAAAGGTGTATGTTTATATTATCTTCGGTTCTTAATATAAGAGCTAGTTGACTAATTTGAATAAATTAAAAAAATTAGTTAAGTTTGTTATTTGTAATAAATAGATGTTATTAGGGCTGTTCACGGGGCGGATCGGGACCGGGACGGGTTCCGTCCCGGTGAACAGTAACGGGACAGAAAATCTGTCCTGTGTCCCGGTCCGTCCCGGGGTTGTCCCAGTCCCGGTCGGGACGGGACAGATCCGGGACGTCCCGAAGTTTTTTTTTTTTTTAATTTTTTTTAAAAAATCTGATTTTTTAACTATATTTTTTTGGCTTAAACCTTATAAAAACATCTTTTTATTTTCTTTTTTATTTGTTTGGGCATTCTTAAACAAAAGCTCAAAATATTACATATAATAGTCATTAAAAACTCTAAACAAAAGCTTTTAACACAATAAAAATTTGCTAAAAATTCTAATTATCAATAATATCAAATCATTAACAAATATAAAAACTCTAAATAAATATATCCATAGTTCCATACAATAGTCTCAAATCTTAAAAAAATATGAAAAATAATCTTATATAAATAGGATAAAAATAAAAAAAAGGACCGTGTCCCGTCCTGTCCCGGTCCCCTTTTTTGTCCCATCCCGTCCCAATAAGACCAGGATCGAAACGGGCCGATCAGGACGGGCCAGCCTTGAACACCCCTAGATGTTGTCTTTCTTAAAATATTTTTATTAATCAAGTGTATTGACTAGAACTATCATTATTACAAGGACTATTTTGGAAAAAAAAAAGAATAAATATGAGAAATAAAATGGATTGGGGGTTTTATATTTAGGACTAGAATAAAAATCAAACGAGTTTTTATATTAAGGACGGAAGGTAGTACTTGTTAGTAAGATAAATAATTGGGTTAACATCAAAACTTCCTGAAAGTCTTAACAACTATCAAACACTTGTGTCAATGTTAATGTTTGAACCAAAAATTGAATCGGCTTTACAAAGATTTGATAGAGTTTTATGTTGGTTGTAAAAGTCCAAACACAACTCTTTTCTTTTATCTGAAATTGAGACCAGCTACATAAACCATAGGCAAAGTTCCATAGAAAAAATGTTAAAATATACTATCTTCGGTTCTTAATATAAGACCTTATTTGACTTTTATTTGGTTCTAAATATAATACCCTAATTCACTTTGTCTCTCATATTTATATATATTTTTAAAAGTAGTCTTTTTAACAATAGTAATTCTAGCCCATATACTTGATTAGGAAGGATATTTTAAGAAAGACAACACCTGTTTAGGACAAATAACTAACTTAACTTAATCCCTTAATCTCTTCAAATTAGTCAACTAGCTCTTATAATTAGGACCGGAGGTCGTATATTTTAACGTTTTGTAAAAATTTATCAGGATATTGAAAAAAGAAGAAGAAGAAGATCAATTTGTATTATGAGTGGAATCAAATTATAAACATTCATCCTGGACCACCATTTTGAAACCTCACATTGATTTCAACCAGATAACGTACTGGTCCATTTCCATCAAAGCAAATCATGCTTCATTAATGTAACAAGAAGCCAAGGGCATGGGCATCCCGCCCTTTTGAACTTGGATCAAATAAAAACAAACGAAATAATTACGCTCGGAGTAAATAAAACAATTAATAATAGACTCCATTTATGTTTTTATAAGAAAAGGCTAAGGTTTCACAAATAGAATACAACTCATGACTTAAGAAAAAGGGGAAAAACTTCAAATTTACGAAGTACTACCTCGGGTCCTAATTATAAGACCATATTCATAGACTATAAATATGGTCTTATAATTAGGACTGGAAGCAGTATTTATAGATTATCTATAAGTTCTCATATTGATTATGAGATTTGAATCCATATTCTCGTAAGATATGGGCTAATTATAGATTAATCCATAGGTCTTCACATCAATATTTGGGATTTGAACTCATATTATAAGATATAGGTCAACTTCTAATTAACTAGACTAATTTTTATCGATAGCTTATTCTACTCATCATAATTTTGTTTATGTGTTTCTCTTCGTAATTTGTGTGGTTTTATTTATAAGTTACATTATTAAATTTTCATATAAATATACAATTATATCCTTGATTTATTATTCATGGAAACAACAGGGTTTCAGTAATATTTGGTTCGACACCATTTTTCTATTAATTATATTAGATAGGGAAAATGAGCAAATGTCATAAAAGAAATGTGAAAATCACTAAATTTCAAATCGTAATTTTTATAAAATGTGTTGTTATTTAAAAGTTATATGCAATCAAAACTTATTGAAATGCAGGAAACAAAGTTGATTTAAGATTTAATAATTTTTAAATTCTTTTTGAAAAAATTGCAAATAAAGACTCTTAATATATAAAATTGCGATTTTGGATGCTAAATTTGAAAAATAGCAAATAAGGAATGTATCCCATTTTTGCAAATATGAAATGTGAGTGAAATGTCTGAAATGCCTCTCAACCAAATTGTGATTTGGTCTATTAAAATTGTTATTCGCTAAAGTAAACCTGTCATTTCTCATAATCAACTCGTTATTTGGCATACCTTCAATCAAGTTGCGATTTGGTTTATTGAAATTGTCACTTATTAAAATAAAATTGTTATTTCTCATAGTCGACTTGTCATTTAATTGAGAAACATTTCAGACATTTCACCATGATTTTATATTTGTAAAATTAGAATCAAGTCTTTACTTGTTATTTTTCAAATTAAGGGTCCCAAATTATAATTTTATATGTTAGGAGTCTATATTTACAATTTTCCCATTCTTTTTCTGTCATTTTCTCATAAATTATCTTACATTTTTGTCCCTTAGTTTTCAACTAAGTAATTTCATAAATTGAGGGCATATATGTTAATTTGATAACGATTTTCCTTTCTCCTCCTAAACCTGGCTCATGGGGCGGAAGATCGTGCTGTTTTCCCCCCTCTCTTGGACTTGGGATTTTTCTTTTGACCAAAAAACTTAGGATTACTTTGTTATTTACAGTGCGGTCCAATTATTGGAGCATGACGCTACCCTGCATTTTCTTCTTACGCTCCTTTGATCCCATTTGCCGAATTCTTCCACTCAAAGTCGGGGGAAAAGAGAAGGAAACTTGAGGATCTACACTGTCCAGCTTTCTCTGATGAAATTTCCAGAAGATTGCGGATTGGTAGCACGAGGTCTTCTGCTGAGGATGAGTGAGCATTTCCGTTTCTTCTCTGTTTTTCGCTTGTTTGAGAAGGAACTATTCAATTTTGGGCTTCCGATGGCATTTGGCGCTGAATGCAAAAACCAAAAAAAAAAAAAAAAGGAAGAAAAAAAAACAAAAAAGCTTTTATCGTTGGTCTGTATAATTCATCTTAGTGAGTATCTTTCATCACGGTGGATGTGAAATCTGGAGGTCAACTACCGAATAAAGATCTTCTTACCTTTTCAAGACCTACGTTATTTAAACTGCTATGATATTGTGTAAATTCTTTATTTGTTACACTTCTAGGTAACTAAATTGATATCTGAAGCTACCTGCATCTCACTTATTTTAGGAGTTGGTTATTGCCATCGAATTGGAGCTGTCATGTAAGCAGTTCTGGTCGAAATTTTCGAGCCACGATGGATAAAACAAAGTCAAATACATTCAAGGGATTCAGAACATTTTTGGTTGTGGGTTTCATTGCTTTCCCCATTTTAGTCATAGTTACTCTGGTAAACCAAAACTCAATACCTCATCTCGTTGAGAAATCTTCGAAAACTAATGTGCTGGGTGAAAGAGACCAGAATGTTTCTACTAATGTCTGGAAGGAAGCTGAAAATGTTAGTTTTACTAGAACCCCTCAAGCCATGGGAGCAAAAGTCCAGAATGTTACAGGACCAGAGGTAGGTAAGGCCATTACCCGCAATCTATTTCTATTGTTTATGACATTCTTGTTTTCTCAATCACATATACTTCATCTATTCAACTTTACTATATCTAATTCTGATGTACTCTGTCTTGAACTGTTTAACCTGCATGTCAAACAGTCAAGGACAATATTTTCGAAGAAAAGGCTTACGATGGTTTACTGGCCTCAGAAGAAAGCATTCCCAAAAAGACAACCTCTGATGCTGGTATGACCATTTTTTATGGCTTTATTTTCCACTTTCTGTCATTCCTAGTCACTTTTTCGTATATAAAATGACAGAATTAGTTTCAAGTTACTATAAGAGGTCTTCTGGTTAATGCTATTATGACTTGAAGAATTATAGTTGTTATTCTTGGCTCGCTTGAACTTGAATAGTCGAGATAACTTCCTATTACTATGAAAAATTGGTAAATTACCAGCTTACCTTTGGTTATGGCAAAACAAGCAGAAAATATGCCTATATTCATTACGGTTTATTGAGCGTGATCTGCAATAGTTTTATTGAAACTTCATAGCAATCTAAACTTTTTTGCAGAATCACTGATGGGAATGGGATTGTTAATTTGCCTAGATTTTTCTTTATCTTCTTGCAAATATCTGCAACTTCTCTTTTTCCCGTACCTGCAGGTCAAAAGAACCAATTGATTGCAAATGTGAGTCATGATTCATCTCTATCTGACACTGCTACCAATGATAAACTCCTCAGTGAGCTTCTAGCTCCCACTTTTGATGAAGGATCATGCCTAAGTAGGTATCAATCTTATTTATATCGCAAGGCATCCCCTCATAAACCCTCATCATATCTGATACTCAAGCTACGCAACTATGAACACCTTCATAGAAGATGTGGACCCCTCACCAACTCCTTTGACAAAGTCATGAAAATGGGCAAAACATCTGGCAAAAACGTTGCAGCTACAAAGTGCAAATACCTTGTTTGGACAGCTGCTAATGGCTTGGGGAATAGGATGATAACCTTGGCTGCGGCATTTCTTTACGCCATAATCACAGATCGAGTTCTACTTGTTAGATTTGGGTCTGATATGGTTGGTCTCTTCTGTGAGCCATTTCCCAATTCATCATGGTTATTGCCTCAGAATTTTCCTTATCGCAGAGAACAGAAACATATTGAAACCTATGAAAGTTTACTAAACAAGACACGTGATTCGAATGTGATTTGGCCATCATTTCTAATTCTTAATCTACAACACACCCATGATGGTCACAATAACTTTTTTCATTGTGATCATAGCCAAAGTCTTCTCCAGAAAGTTCCTGTATTGATTTTGAAGTCAGATCAATATTTTTCCCCTTCTCTTTTCATGATTCCATCTTTTGGGCAAGAGCTAAGCAAAATGTTCCCAGAAAAAGACACTGTTTTCCACCATCTGGGACGCTACCTTTTTCAACCATCAAATGAGGTGTGGGATGTTATTAGCAGGTTCTATAAAGCTCACTTGGCCAAGGAAAATGAGAGGATTGGCCTCCAAATAAGAATATATAATACTCATCGAGCTCCACATCAAACCATCGTTGATGAAATATTAACTTGTGCCTTCAAGCATAGCCTGCTGCCTCAATTGGGCCATCACAAGTCAGTAACATCTCCATCGAAGAACAATCCTTCAAAAGCCATCCTAGTTGCATCTTTATACTCAGAATACGGTGAGAAGCTAAGGGCTATGTATTTGGGCAACACAACTGTGACTGGGGAAGTTGTCAGAGTTTATCAGCCAAGTCATGAAGGGCATCAAAAGTCGAATGATAATGGGCATAACATCAAGGCATGGACTGAAATATATTTGCTGAGTTTGTGTGATGCTTTAATCACCAGCCCCAAGTCTACTTTTGGGTATGTTGCTCAAGGACTTGGGGGTTTGAAGCCATGGATTCTGCAGAGAGCGTATGGTGAACACATCCCTGATCCACCATGTCTACAAGCTGTATCCATGGAACCTTGTTTTCATTATCCACCTAAACATGATTGTAAGGCCAGTAGAATAGTGAAATTTACTTCCCGTTTTCCGCATATTACGAAATGTGAAGATGTAAGTAATGGATTGAAGCTGGTTGATGTTCATCGCTCAGTGACAAATTCGTGACATGAGCGCTAAGTATTTGCCATCATTGTGCCTTCAACAAAGGAGTTATGTCTTGAATAACATTGCTAATGTAGTTTCTTGGCTCTGGAGCTAAAGATCAAAAGCTAATCATTTGCCAAAATGTGAAAGAAGGAAATGCAGTTCCTTTTGATTTAGTGACTCTACGAAGTACGATTTGTTCAGAAAATGAAAAAGAGAGTGGTCCCGGCTCCCGCCTACTTTTATG